AAAAAAAAAGGTAAAGCTTTTTCTTTTTAAAAGTTTACTTCTACTCATTCAAAAGGAAGAATAAGTCATTATGTATTATTTCAGCTCTCAAAGTTTTACAATTGGCTGGGAGACCATAGCTTAAAAGTTACACAATGAACATTGATACTACACTCCATCCAAAGATGATGTTAAAAGTTTTTAATTAGGATTTACTTACATTCCTAATTTTGTGACAAAAAGCAATCTCTTGATGTTAGAAATGCGAATTAACTCTCATCCTTCAAGTCCTATGTATCTAGATTATACAATTTGGACAACACGACTTCATAAAAGGGACTATGTTAAGAACTAGAGAGCACATACTTGCTTAAAAATTCTTTGTTCCTGAACAGAACACTCTGGAATTCCAGACAAATGGAAGTTAGAATACTGACTATAGCTGTTCTGTAATGATCTGTATAAAAATTAAATTAAAAACATGGTGAGAGGCTTAGGCTTATTAGGCAGTAAGCCTTCTCTTCACTACATCTGTGTCAGACTAAATGCTTATTTTAAAAACATGTATCGCCCTTTAAGAGCTCTGCTAGAGCAATCTGACACAGTAGCTCCTCCACCATCAGAATGTCCTGTATTTTAGCAGGCCCGTTATTGCAAGGCAGACGGCTGATGAGAAAGGGGGTGTGAAGTCACCTCCTATACGTGTAGAGTGCGTCATCTATAAACTAGCAATGAAGAGAATATGAACTCTGCACTCTGCAGAAAGTGATTTTTGTTATGAAGACCATTCTACAGGTGAGCCACGTGACCCCAAAATACACCCTTACACACTATGATGGTTATCGTATTGGCTGCTCCCATCCCACTACCCAACGGCGGCCGTGGAAGCAGGCGGCTGGGCAGCGATGGTGGACCCGTGGCGGCTGGGGCGGGTGGCCAGGTACCAGCCCCTGCCCACCGAGAGCAACTCGGCGTGGGAGGACCCCACCCCAACGACATGAACATGCTGGACATGGTCTCCAGCACGTGTGGGATCCCGCTCAAGCTGAAGTCGTGCGCCTGGATCGCCGTCTACTGCTCCGTCACCAGCTTCGCCAACCCCCGCAGATCCGAGGACGCGAAGCAGATGATGAGCAGTGTCATGCTCCCCACCATGGCCATGGTGATGCCCTAGATGCAGAACCACCAGCTCATGTCCCACCTCTGGTGACAGCCACACGCGGTGTAGGGGAGGGCGTGTGCTGTGACAATAAAGGGGGGTGCTGGGTCAAAATTAATTTTCTTTCTCAGTTTTTTTTTTTCTCTTTTGAAAAAACACTCCTCTATCCATCATATTTGGAAACGTTGTGGTGGTATGGAGAAGTTCCTGTTGACTGGAAAAGGGGAAACATACACCACATCC